CTGCTGCTGCCCCGGCCCGGTCGGGCCGTTGTCGGGGTGCCAATGGTATTTTTCAAATGAGGGTGTCATCTTCAGGCAGGCAGTGACCCTTAGTGCTACGAGGGAATGAGATGCTGGTGAGAGGGTAGTCCACTGCCCGCCGCGAAGCTCTCTCTCCCCCTCCCTCCTTCCTTCCTTCCCTCCCTCCGTCCCTCCGTCCCTCCCTCCCTCCCTCCCTCCCTCTCTCCTTCTCACTCCCACTGCCGTGAGGGGGGGGGGGTGCTGAGGGGCAACCGTTTCTTTTGATAGGCCGCATTTAAAAAACAACACGCTGCAGGCGCAATTGAAGCGCATTTCCGCAAAAGGAGCTCTCTCTCTCTCTCTCTCCCTCTCTCTCGTGTTATTTCGCACTACTCGTCACTCCTGCAGAAAAACTATGGCGCCTGGAACGCAATTTATATATACCCTGTTCCGATCCACATTACATTATTGGATGTAGCCCACTCTGACTCACTTTATGGAACATTATACAAAGCTCTTTGTTACGTTCGTCTGCGTTTGTAACATCGGACATACAAATTACTTTCAGTTAACAGGTAACAATTTTTTTTGTTGATTGTAAATAGAGCTATGCTTCTCGAACACTAGTAGCAGTCTAACAGCAAACAGCAATCACGGATTTTAGTTTATATGCACATATGCACATACAACTTTGTGTATCAACGGTTACGTAAAATTATGAATGTAACAACTGTTATACACCTACACATACGTATGTTGTTATATAGAGTAACTTTCAGTGTCTGAAGGCGACAGTGCTTATATTGTGTTGAAAATTGAAATTGTTTTTGGAGGAGACTCTAGCATATTGGCGTTAGATTAAGCTGTAAGTTTGCTTTGACATTCTCGCGTCGTTACTTTTGAGTGAAAATGGAAGCGAAAGTCTTCAACCTCGTGTAGTAGCTTTTGAACTGACAGAAATTATTTTTCCTAATTTCGGGACAAAAATCCATTTTTACACATGGGAGGAACCCAGCGACCTCTCGGCCTGGTAATATGTTACAACTTATCGCATTTATTTGTTTTTGAGACCTTGGATCGTTTTCAGTGACATATGGTTCAGTTTTGTTGTTGTGGAAAATTATATCTTATCCCAGAAAAAAAGGTTTATGCACACCTGGCCTATCTGCGAGGCACTGGTCACTGGTCCTTTGGCGCGACTCCCCCTCCTGCCCTCTGTCTGAGCCGGGCCGGGCAGGTCTGAGCGGCTTGGGCCACATTCCCCTTCTCCACCGCTGTTGAAATTGAAAGCGTGTTTTATGAATGGCTTCGTGTGGTTCCCTCGGGCCACCCCCACCCCCCATTCCGACCTACCCCCCCCCCTCAGAAAAAAATAATATAAAAAGAAACGAGGCTAATTTCTTTGTCCGTTTTCCTCTTTGTTGCAGTGGCAGGGCATGGCTGTGCAGAGGCTGTGTGGCTGCTAGCCTGGCCGGCCTGGACCATGGCGGTCATGAGGGCGCGGTGATCGGGCGGCGGCACGGCCTCGACGAGGGCCTCCACCACCTCCCCGCCGGCGCGACTGCTGCCCGCTGCTGCTGCTGCTGCCCCGAGGCAGTCATGTGGGGCGCTGCCCCTGTCG